AAGCGAAAATGTGAAATACACAGCGTCTTATAATTATAAAACTATTAAACATTCATTCGATTTTTGTACGATGTGTTATTTATGGAGGATTCAGACACCAATCAATGTAAATCACTTCGTGTCAAAAACTAATTTATGTCATGAAAATATCTTTTTTTAATTTATTTAATTATAATATGATCATTATGTTATATATTATATTATTACATTATAATGTAATAATATAATTATTGATGATATTATAACGAAATTGTTCGATCGGGTGAAGATTTTGATAAGAAAGGTATGTTTGTACGACAGAGATTATTTTTGATAATTATCTTCTGAGCTCGATATATGTAATCATGCGGAAATGTATCGTTTTAGAAAAAGAATAATTTATAATTATTGGGGAAAAAGTCTGTAAAAATCTAATTCATTTTTACTACATATTGAATTGAAGTGTAACATTGAATGAGATACAATAAAATAACAACATATTTAAAATATTTATCCTATTGTGTCCTGTTATGTTATACCTGTGTTATAAGAATTAGTAACTAATGTAATGAATGTTTAAAGACAGACTACTAGAAAAATAATGCCCAGTGTTCAATTCGATCAATAATTTATTGATTATAAATTTATAACAAGGGAAATAAAAAAGAAAATTTTAGAATAGTTTTACAACACACAGTGTATTTTATGTAAAGTTTAATAGATCATACATACTACACGTACAACGTGTAACGATATAACTATATCTACATACACATAACTAGAAAAATAAAAAAAAGGAAAAGTTGAACACGTTAGAATAATTTTATAGTTGTAAGACGCAGTGTGTATTATGCAAAGCATAATAGATTCTACACACACGAACAACGCATTAAGTTGGAAAAAAGAATAGGATAAAGATAACTATAGCTACCTATTGTTAGTAATAATAATCAATGGAGTCGTCGTTAACACACCTGTTATCGATGCAGCTTTTGCCGTCTGAACGTTAGCTTTCGCGTGCCCGATGTAAAAGTATGCAAAAATATGTATACAACCGTGACGTTCTAATTATAATTCATGTTGTTGTTATAACTTTTAGTCGAGAGACGGCGACGATTCAACATCAACGACAGAATTAAAGAGCTCGGCACTCTGTTGCCTAAAACTAACGACCCGTAAGTACGTTTTTCTTTCAGTCACACGATACTTACCACAGTAATAATGCAGCGATGAGTTTCCATCTTACGAGTAATCATCAGTCTAGACTGGCGCATGTTTGCGCATCCGTGGAAATTTCAAAAAGATTTCGAAATATACGTGAAATATTCAAGGTATATTATTAGACTACGATATTTTCACGTATTTATAAGAAATTATAAAACGCGAAATTAGACAGAGAATCCATTTTAGTATCAATTTCATTCGTAATTTCGTATTTCAGTGCATACATTCGACTTGCATACTTCGATGTATGCAATCATGCAAGTAATAAAACGAACTCGAGAATGTATCTATTAAAATATATAAATGTTATATTGACAATATTGTTAATATAACAATGTTCTGTTTGTATTCTTGTATATTTTATCTCTCACGTTAAATGAATTAAATACAAAATATTTAAAATATAGTACTTTTTTACAGTACTTAATACTTGAAACAATATTCTACCAAGGTTATCTGTTAAAATATATAATAAATATCTATTAAAATATATAAATATTATATTAACAATATTGTTAATATAACAATGTTCTGTTTGTATTCTTGTATATTTTATCTCTCACGTTAAATGAATTAAATACAAAATATTTAAAATATAGTACTTTTTACAGTACTTAATACTTGAAACAATATTCTACCATTATACTATACCAAACTATATTCTGTTAATAAATTGAATTCTTAAATATATTAAATGTAGAATATAAACATAAAAATTTGCAATCTAATCATGATAGAGTGAAGTAAACTTAGATTTTCTTTAGTTGTGTTCATAAAAATTTACATAAATATCCGCAGTGTAATCATGTCAAACGAATAATCAAATGTTTGAATGTATTACGTTGCTTAATAAATTCTGAGCATTTTGTATTATAAAAATTTTTGATTCCAGTAATAATTTTCATTTCCTTTAAATATTAGCGATGTTTAATGGATGATTAATTTTAGAATACATATTTAAGATTCTAGATATCTCAATCGAATTTTTATTTCATTTAAAAAATTACGAAATTTATTAGCGTCCAGCTTGCACAAAATTTTAGAAGATTGATCTTCAAGACAAAAATCTCATTTTAAAACTCGTCGAACCACTTTGTGCAAGTATGAAGTATGCAAATATAAAATACCTTAACGACGTAAATATGTACTAAATAATTACTCGTATATTTCCTTTGCAAGGCGAAAACAAAGCGCTTCATATATTATACATAACTTTTCAATTTGTGGATAACGAAATACTTAACTTGTTCTTCCGTTAACACAACATTTCACTTGCAATTCTTTTTTATATTCTAGTTTTTTAATTGCATTTTTTATATATTTATTAATAATTTTATATATTTCTTAATAATTTTATATATTTCTTAATAATTACTAATCAATTTTATGTTCAATAATTTTTTAATATTGAGATTAAAAGAAATTTCAAGAAATTTGTTTAATTTTTTCTTCCGTCATTATGTTTTCTACCTAGATTCCATAATTCCATGGAATTTCAAGATATTTAAGTGATTATAAATTATTATTTGATTCTTAATTTCTATTCTGATTTCTATTCTCAAAATATATTTTTCTTAGGCAAATAATGTAGACACTTTTCTGGGAAATGAATTGCTAATGAAAAGCCAGCTTTCGAGGTGAAATATTTAATTAGTGGACCGCTTATTTCTTGCTTCAAAATTCGCCATTCATTTTTCAATAGTATATTGAATATCTTCGAAATTGAGTATGTTCATTTTTTTCTTTCGAAATTTTGCTTATTTTACTTACTAATATATATTAATATATATATATAT